CAATGTATTATTTTTATAATGTAATTTAACTAAATATTGCAAAATAAAAACAAAATGGTATAAAGCTTTAAGAGAAAATAATGCAGTAAAGCTTTATTCAATAAAGCAACATCGAGAAAAGGCATATTTCATACAAATATTGGTAAATAAGTTTAATTTAACAAATTCTTTGTAAAAAATTCAGTTGAAAATTATTTTTTTTCCCAATTTTCTTTTATTCTTGAGTTCTGCAGAATTTATTTACATTTTATTCAATTTTCTCATATAGTCAGTGACAAGTGCCATACAAGTGTTCATACAGTGCGAATTTTTGATGAAGATACGAATACGTCATAATTTTAATTTTTAATCGAAATCTTTATTGTTAAAACAATTACAACAAAAAGCCTCGTAACAATATAATATAATGAAAAACGTTTTGGAAAGAAACATATCACAAAATTACCGAAATTACTGCCTGTATGAAGACTTTTGTGACTAACGGTAAATTACAATTTTGACAAAAAAATCGCATAAAAAAAAACAAAATTTCATTCTTTAATTTTTATTAATTAAATATTACTTTTTGAAGTTAAATGGTCAAAAAAACCGCTTGGTTTTATATACTTTTTATTTATTATATATATACGTTTATTACTATTGAAAAAAATTTGTACCATTCTAAAACCTGCATATTAAATAAAAATGTCAAAACTTTTAGTTACGATGTTAGCCGTTACTCATAAAATCAAAATAATTGACGAGAAAGCTGATGAGTGCGGCAAATTAACAAGGTTGTTAATGAGACAAGAAGTCCCCTATTAGGAAAAGACGAGGCAATATATGTAATGCAGAATTTTAATAATTATTGATTTATATCAAATCATAATTAATCAAAAACAGCACTTCTAACACGCAAAACAGAATTCAGACAAGTACCGTATGATTCAATTAATATAAATTACTTACATCCTCCAAGCATCAGAGATTGTTTACTTTTAATTTACAGTCATATCCAATATGTGAAAATAATGTGTTGCACGCAACTCATCTGAACCAATCTGGAGCCCCGAGAACAAGCTGTTCTAAACTTTAGTGATTTGTATGGAAAAACCCTTTTCCGAGCATCTTTTGCGGAATCTTAAAGTCAAAAATGAATATTTGCTTTTCGATTTCTTTAATTTTCTCGTTGCCTGTTCTCTTCATGTTCATTGTTTAAAAGAGAGACGTACAAACAACTTTATTTTAACAAAGAACAGCAGATAACGACAAGCGTGATGGCTGAAACGATAATGTAAAGAGTTCGGTATTTGTTTAACGCGGAGAAACGTTGTTTGCAAGCTTTTTCGTAGGCGTCTCGAATCGTTACATTATTTTGTAAGGGATGCTACATTGCGTGATATTTATTTTCTGGAGACTGAATCAACGGGCGTGAAATTAAGTTTGTAAATACGAGACGTGTCTACCTGAATAAATCGATGTCGACACACCATAACTAACGCTAAAATATTATTAATCTAAATTTCCAGAGTTTCCAGATTAAAGAAAACAATTTTCAAGTTTGGTTAATGAAAATCTTCCAAGGTTTAATATTCGAGATTTGGATTCATCACTGCGTGCTTCTAACCACATCCAAGTGACATGTGTTGAGTCGGATGTTTAATTTACATTTATATGACTTCGAAGGAATCCTAACCAATTAATTAAACATTAAGCCGCTAAAAAAGCCAAAATCATGTAATATTTTTCAGAATATTAGATCCCCACAAAAAAGTCAACAAGGCAATTTTAACCACCCGCTCATATATTTTTCAATTTCCCTCTTTTAATCATCGCTTTTGTTTAATTCTTTTATTCCATCAGCCAGTTAATGCAGCTTTAATAATATAATTTTCATGACTGGCAACAGCACTGTTAGGCAATGATTTTTTAAAGCCCAACTATTTACTCTCATTCCAGATTTAATTAACTGCATTAAAGCTCAAATCGAAACGCTGATTAACAGTTGGTTATTCAATTTTTTGTATTTGAAAATAACACTTTAAGAATAAATGTTTTAATGAAGTTAACTGAATAATGAAAAAAATCAGTGCTGAAAAACTTCCACAACTTATTGCTTGACATTTATTTTCTGTTTAATGTCAGCTGTTTTCTTTCAGGAACGAATCCGATACGTCCCTAGGCCATTCTGTCTAAATATGTACCACAGTTTCATTTTTTACCAACATAAGTAAATATCAAGAAAATCTCTAATGCCATAATCTTGCAATTCAATACAAGTCTGATTCAAACTCAGTGTAGCTTACCCCGGAAGTAATTTGCCAGTCTGGATAGATTCCCAGTTTTCCATTGGGAAAAAGATTATAACCGTGTTATTTCGAACGCAATTTCTTCTCATGAATTTCATGTTTAAAAAAACTGATTTAAACAAAACTTTTATTTTGTGAGTGACTTTCTAATAAACATTTTGTTTCCTTTAAGACAATAAGAGGTTTAAGGTTTACGTATTCAGATCATAATCACATTAAGAGCTTCAGCGCAGCGTCTCGGCGCCCCTAAATCCCTATACACGAAGAAAATCCAAACGCTTTCCCTTTTCCCGATCTGAAGTGTTATTTTTATCATAGCAGGCAATATCATGTTCTGAATAGTTTACAATAGAACCGAATAAAATTCCGCTGATGTTGTAAAGCTTGTTCTTTCCTCTTATTTGCGATTTTTGATATTTCGACTTTAATTCGTGCTCGCACAGAACTTTAGTTGTAAACTGATAAAGCGAGAAAGAAACTACCACATAAAACTCTCGTTGCACTCGGTAGGGTAATAAAGGAAGAAACGTGAACATGTGGAGGACTTAGTTTTAAGTTCATTGTATACCCTCCTGATTTTATTGAGATCGAAATCGTCTCAACGAAAGCAACGAAATCGCACGATCTGGAATCCGGTTCAGGTTGTAAAAAAGTGCCAGCAAATAATTGTATTTTTATGGAATATAAAAGCTAGTGTTTCTGAGCTAAGTTAAAGTGGATTTTTCTACCAGTACTTGGATATTATTGAAGTGACTATAGGAATTCTTTCCTTCATTTTTACAAAGGAACAAGTAGTATAGCTGTCCCGATTCGAATTCACTTCACAAGTAGTATAGCTGTGCCGATTCTAATTCACTTTATCTGCGCATGCGCCATTTCCGGGAATTTGGACCCCCACTCCTGGATCCTTGTTCCGGGAATTCGGATCCCAGTCCTGTATTCCGGAAATCTCCCATTCCAGCATTCTTTGTTAATGTAGGTATATCAACACGTTGAGATTGTCAACTGATAGTCTGATTGCAGACTCCTACAGTGAATAAATAAATACATAGTAGACACGTGGAGTTTTGTTTATGGTTAGGGATTGAGATAGGTTAAGGAAAAGGCATACATAAAAATAAATATTTATTTGAAATATATAACTACATGAAATATATAACAACACAGGTTACAATGTTATAAATACATTTATTCTATTTCTCTATTAACAATTATTATTAATTTTTTTATTAGCACAATAGTGCAAAATTATACATATAAATTCATATAAAAAATTATTCTTGAATAAATTCAATTTTTGTTGTGTTTCCAATTGCTCCTCAATACTAATCATAAATAACTTGGTACCACTTTTAATTTTCTCATTCAAATTAGCAATTTCTTCATCGGTGAGACGTTCAATGAACCGATGTGGTAATATAGTAGAGAATTCGTCCACCAGAAATCCTCCATAAATTGTTGAATGTTTTCTTTTTCTTTTTATGCTAACAATTGATCCCATTTCTAAATCTTTGTTCAAATTTTTAAATGTTGCACTATACACCTTGAATATTTTCTTTTTTCTTACACAATCACAAAATAGTAAAATTATATTTAATTCGTACTGATGTGAAAAATACTGTAGATGAAGTTAAACTGAATTAAATATTGAGCGTATTTCTCGTTTATATAAAACAAATGTAGAGAAGCTAAGAGGTAAGAGAGGTAGGGGGTTATTTTACTATGACATCATTGATCTAAAAATAACCATGACATCATAATTCTCAGAATTTGAAGTGGGGGATTCCCAGCATCCAGGAGTAGGATCCGAATTCCCGGAACCAGGATCCAGGAGTGGGGCCCATATTCCCGGAAATGGCGCATGCGCAGATAAAGTGAATTAGAATCGGCACAGCTATACTACTGTAGCAGTTTATTTTGAGAAATAAAGTTAATAGTGTAGGAAGAAGAGACCTCACTGTATAAAATGAACGTTAAAATTATAATAAAATTAAATAATTTAAAAAATCCAAAATGAAAAGACGAAAAATCATTAATTGAATGAAAAACAGCAAAAAAAGTACAGAATGTAATACAATAATTTAGAAGAGAAATTTAACAAAAAAAGAATAATTACCTATAAATTGGCACTTATGGAAGGAATAAATATAAAAACAAAGTCTTTAGCCAGAATTGTAGATTTCCAATAAAACAGTTAAAATTAAATTAAATTTCTGGAAACCCATTGAAAAATAAATTTGTTTCTTCTACTTGTCATTTTCTGTAGAAGACGTTTCCAGATATCAGAAATAAAAGGGGTTAAACGAGATAATATCATTCATATCATATCTTTATGGGTGCGATTTATGCATGACATCGAACAGGTCAACTCAGCAAGAATGAATATCCTTTTCGAAGCAAACAGCTCGATAGCGATAAAATATGATACAAAGCCTTCGGGAAGGAAACTTTTATGTACTACATCCCCGATATCTCAATACCAGCCGTAACGTAAGTGTCAACCCCCTACCTTTGCATCCTGAGTAGCTACTGAGTGAGGTAGTTCTTGTGGGTAAGGAAGCCAGCCGTCCCCGGCAGTGCGGACAAGAATCGGCGCTGTTCTGCTCCGTCCTTGCCCATCTCGCCGCCACCGGTGGTGGCACAGGCGGCGGCGGCGGTGACGGACTGCCAGAAGGACTCGACCAACTGGGTTGTTCCACCACTCGGCTGTGGTTGACTTTCGAATTCATCTGCAAGGAAAACATCGTTTATTCTAAATAATTGAGTAAACAATGGCGTACGCGTTTCGAATTGGAGATTTACGCTTGGGTCCAGGGAGGAACCGCTGTTGCAGCTCGTTCGTGCCTCCTCGACGCATAAATCAGCGCCAAATAATAAATTTAGTCCTCTCCGGTGCCGGAACATGAGATACGGCCGCCATTTCCGGATCTCTACCTACACCGGAGCGGCTCTAATGCTTATCTCGACAGCGGTTCCTCAGATGACGACTGATTGCGTCGTTATATTCATCGGTTGAGTTCAATCTTAATCACGACCAAAGCCAAAACTGTTTCTTATTCAACAAAGTGGAGGTCAGAGTTGCTTCGAAATTTAAATCTCCATCCTGCTTATTAATAAACGAAGTTTGAAAGATGTAGGTCAACTAGACTGACAAAATTTTCTCGATTCGGAAATTTATTCCATATTTAGGCAGTGTTTATCGAAACTCGACAGTGATTAGAATAAATTATTATTCCCTTGACACAATTAGGATAGTAAAGTATGCAGAAGGTGACTACTGGTCCATAAATTTACATGCAACTCATCCCGAAATAGACGGTAGAATAAATCTAGGGTTATTTGCCGGTATTGTGGACTGTATTAAATTATTGTGAGTCTCAGAATGCTACTAGTTGAATTATAAGTCGGCGGATGTTCCTTCTGCTCCATTTCTTTACGAATAAATAGACAGTAAATAAGACGCAATAGACGGAATTATTGATTTCTGGAAAAAACTTGCAAAAATAGAACTTGAAAGAACAGTCGTTTGTAAGTAATTTTCTTTCAATAATTGAACATCAATTGTTTGGTTTTAAACTGTATAGTATAAATATTCTAATGTTCATTTAACATAAAATTATAATCCATTAGTAATCAAATATTTTATTCATAAATCGCAAATTGCATGTTTAATAATTATTATGTACTAATTGAAAATAACAAATTTTAAAATAACATCATATCTTTGTTTCATTATCTACGGTCTTTCCTTTTCTAAATTTAAGCTTTGTTTGTTAAATTTAATAAAAAAGTTGCATTTTGGAGCATAAAATCTTTTAACTCCCACTGCTTTCTGATCAATTTTTAAATGCTATTAAAATACCATCGCATTACGAACTCCGTTTGATCTGCTTTATTTTGCGTGTTTTACATGCATCTGAAGTAAATTCTTTCGTCGTTATCCTCTCCTGTCCCGTCTTCCCAGAATTCCTTAGGGATCAACTGTTTGCTTGTTCCGGATTTGTTGATATTTTGGCTACAAGTTGTTTCTCTAAAGCATCTCCATTTGGTTGCACGTTTTAGATAAGTCACGACAAGATTTGTTACTTGATAATCTCTTCGGTTCTTTGACCCTTTTTACATTTTCAATAAACTCGTATCTTGTGTCAAGTGCAGAAAATAGATTTCTGTCAACTCTAATGAACTCGATAAAAAGAACAAAAGTTAAAGCTGCTAAATGTAAACGGAAAAGTGAGATGTCTGTTACAACTTAAATTGACAACAGTTTATCTACTTCAACTTGGAACAACTTCCACAGTAACTCTAACAGTGATGGTTGATTGTGTCCCAATTCCCAAGACATCAGACTGCACAAGTTCGTCAGTATTTGACATAAACTAATGTGACACAATTAGGAAAGCATCACAGTGGAATTGATTAATACCAGGTGAAACATTAATTGGTATATCAACACATTTTCGATTTAGATAAGTCGACGAACTCGCTGCATACGAATAGCTCTTCACTGTTTACTTTTTTGAGAGTGATTGTAAATTCCGTCTGGAGTATGTAAGTTTTATGGCAGCAACCTAACGATAAACTCCCTATAAATTAGTCTGGGCATTGTTTTTTCTTCGCGATGTAAACTCTCAACAGACCAGACAAAATTTAATCCCCCGTTTGTTGAACCACCATTATTTATAGTATTTGGAGTTTTATAGAGTCATCGACAACGGGACTCTTGCATGCTTATAGATTTCACACAAAGCGTAACAGTTGTAAACACTTTTACCATTTTTCACAATTACCAACAAATCATCTCATTTCCTTTCATCCTGTGAATGTTAACTGCTCCTCAAATGTGAATCCATTTCAACTAAATATAAACGTCATATATCTAGGGGAAAGCAGTAGCTTTACGTCGTTTAAGCTCACGTATTGTGTACGCCGGTTCCCGACCATAAAATAAATCTTTTGATTTAGTATCAGTTAGTCGCTTCTAGCGGTTAATATTTAATGTGTGGTTTGGTCTCTTTGCCCTTTCCGTTTCCACAGTTCGCTCGATTGTCTTTTTCAGCTTTTAAATTGCAGCGATGCAAAAACGACATCTGCACTGTATTCACTAATAGACTTGTTCACTTCTCAATTAACTCCGGCGAGTATCCTCACTCCGGCACATTCAATTACAAATGAGATAATTCTGGTTCATTAGTTCCACGTTATCTAGACGGAATTCAATCGCGTAATCAGTTTGTTCTACTGTGTAAGAAGCTGTAATTAGATTCAAGCGCTTTGAGCACTTGTCATTATTAACACTGGATCGGGAAAAAGCTCCGGAATGTTTCTAGACCGACCAGAAGGTAATTACAAGACGTAAAGCATTTCTTCCACCACTTGTCAGTGCGTTTTTTGCTTCTGATACGTAATTATCACAAAATTGCAAAAATTTAGCATACGAAGCAATTTTTTTCCTTTAATCATCTGTAATATCTCTGATTTGCGGAGATTAAGTTGATTTCATCGTATGATTACTGTTTGTATCTCCGGCAAGCAACTAATAAAAGATTTTCCCCTTTATGGCTTGACGTAATTGCGAATCCATTGACGCTGAATTGATGTTATGTCAGTTTAATTCCAGTAACAGTAACTTCAAGCGCCGTCTCCTATCTCTATAATCTGTTGCCATTCTTGGAGTCGTACTAAATTACATAGTTCCAATGTCGGCATATCATCCATCAAGAAGCGACTACCCGCTTCTATAAAAAGTTGTTAGAATCGGGTTCCTGCGGCTTGCCAAAGCAATGGCCTGGACTAATTCGATAAGTCGACATGCAATCAACTTCTCGACATGGGCCAAGTGCTACCGCTGTGTATTCGTTAACCTTGCACACGTCTCACTTTGTTTGGATGCCGGAAAATGACCACATGGAGATATCTCGAATCTATAGGAGATATATTAACGTATTAGAAACTAAATTAATCACAATTAAGAGCCCCTGGCCACTTACCACTCCCTTGGAGATATCGACTTACTCTCTAACATAAAGAGATACTGAGAAGAAACATTAAGATATCCAAAATTATTAATCTGTCATTGCATATAAATATATATAGGGTGGTTTCGATATAATTTGCCAAAATAATTCTAGGTCATTAAAAGAATTTAACAAGACCGAAAGGTCCTTTCTACTAGGTCAAAAAGAATAAGGATAAATTAACCTCTATCCACATACAATCGACGCTGCTGACCACAAAAGTTACATAGTCAAAAATTAATTGTTAGTGTTTCTAAGAATGACAATTAAGCAACTATACCTGAATCGTTTGTGACAAATTGGACTCTATTTCAAATTGTTATCTTCCAAATTTAAAACGCTTTCTATCATTATTAAATATATTTTAAATAATACAAATGTGTTTAGAAATTAACAAACTACAGCATTGTCCTTTGACTTTCCTCCTCTGTGAATTATGCTAAAGCCCCACATTTATCATGCATGTAACTCTAATTTAGTTTCCCTCCAACTTCACATTCTTGTTTTACTTTTGGTTAAAAAATTGCATGAAACTATTCTTGACATGATTTATGTAACAAAAACTCAAAAAATAATTCAGAATTATGAAAACTTAGAAAACTGAAATAAATTAGTGTAGAATGCAAATGTCCTTTTTTCCAAATCCAGAGTAATAATAAATTTTATAAGCATATAAAAATAATATTGGACACTATTATCCAACTGTTACCTTGATAAAATATACAAAAGCACATTAATGAGCATAATCCACTCATTCTTTCGACCGAATTGAATACATTTTATATTAAACAAAACTGCCGTCAAAAACAGTATCCCCCTCTATGCAAATTGGATCCCTCATTCAGACAAAGAAAGTCATCAACAGGTAACATATCTAGCAAGTGATTTTTATTCGTCTGCAACATGTGGCACGTCTTGGAAATTTTATAACCCCCTTGAAGATTTATAGCGTAGTCTCGTACCACCATCCAAAATCGCCCAATTTTGCCAACTCAAATCCCTCTTTTAACACATTGTATGCAGTGTCGCAGAGAAACAATTTATGTTTCAATGTGACAAAAAAGTAATATTGAACATGTCACAGAAACGAAAAAAATAATTACCCCACCTGCAAAACAGCTTTTATTCGAATTTTATTAGCGCCAAAAGTACGAAGAATGACGGTTTTAGGCACTTGTTCACAAGGGGGATATTAATTCCTGAATTATTAGATACTTTATCTTCTCCAACCGCAATTAATTTTCGGGGAATCGCGCAGATTTGATAAGTTTGTGAACAAATTTATTAAAATGTGTTGCAAAACCACTCAAAATATTAATCGAGGGACATTAAGTTTATGACGTTGATGCACCGCAAGAATATTTATCAAAATCCATATACTGCATCTGTTACGGAAATAAGGTCGAAACTTTTTGCCATTAAATTTATCATTTGATTGAAGATTTTATCTAAACCGCTACCATACAGGGGATTTTTTCATGTTCCTGCATACTAACACAATTCTGGTTCAAATTCTCTTGCAAAATTTCGCAGCTTTCTCTCTCAAAGTATGCCCTCTTATCTAAATTTTATAGGTTTTTAAGCTTTATAGTCAATTAAGCGCGACCTTCTTTATATTATTGTCCCAGTCCAGGTTCAGGCTTCGAATTAATGCCTACTTCTATTCATTAGATAAGTGCTCTCTTTGTTGGCAATTAATTAGTGGTGTTTATTGTGAGAAACTTTCGCATTGTTATGATTCACGCCTTTATCTTTTTTCTTGTCGAAATTTCCACGATTTGTTGCTAACTATTAATAAAAGTTTATGATAATTAATGATGTTTTAATCACCGCTTGACTTATTCTCTTAATGAAAAATTTAAAACGCCAATAAAATGATATCGAAAATTAATTACTTTTAAGGACAAGTTGATCTCTCGAAGCTGAAGCGAAAGGTGATAATCAAAAGTGCCAATATCACGTGCATTTTTCCTCAGAAGTGCTTGATTGCTAACGCACTGTTCAATCAACAATTTGATACAATGCGAGTTATGGAACAACTTTAGACTTTTCCGAACTGGAACCAATCACAACTTTTTCCGCTAGCATCCTTCACTAGATTCTAAGTTCAAATTAGTTTTGAAATTGTATTTAAAAAACTGAGTAATTCAATAGCAAAGTACTGGGATTCATCACTACTGGAGATGAAAAACGAAATCCCTAAAATTGATGACTCACAGCACGAGGTGCGACACGAAAGGAAAATATGTTCCAAATGTCCGTCTTTAATGGAAAGGAACATATATCACGCGCCGTCGAAATAGACTTTTATAATGACGGCACCTACACTACAGAAAATCTATACCTTTGATTTTTATAAAGCTTCATTTAGAGAGAGCTAAAACCAGGCAAAGCACCTATGTAAAAAAAAATTAATTAGTAAAAGTTCTCACAGATGGTAGCCAAGAGTATGCTCTTTGGTTAATGACTATTCAGCCAAGCTGTTAATAAAGCAAATGGTAAAGACAAAAATTGCGAATTTACTGGTTCTCCTAAAATAAAATTAAACGAATATTTAAACACACAAAAATGCATACCTATGCAGACAAAAAAAAAATCATTTAGAGACACCGACAGTGTATTTTTTAATTCAGACCTAGTATGTGAACATTTTTTTTGGTAGAATAAGGAAGAGAAAGAACATTGACCTTCTGAACACTCTATAATTAATAGTAACGTATGTGCGTCCTTACAGACCCTCCAGGGGACCCTATAAATGACTTAGGACGTTAAAACTTTGTACATTACTACATTGCAGCATAATCCTGAAAACAGAATGAAACCCGGATTATCACCGTAGTTTTGGATAAAATTTAACCTATTTATTAATATTTTTTTGTTCCTCTGCATGCACTTTAAAAAATCCTTTAAACGCTTTGTCGTCGAGTGACCCTGTCTATTGATTCAGTTAGAGCATCCAAAGTACAGTAAATTTTTAAGGTGCGCCACATTACCTACCACATGAAAACACAATTTCCTCGAGGATTCTCAATTTGCATTTTTATTTTATCGCCTTTACGGTTGTGCACGTCGCGAATATTTAGTAGCTTGTTTAAATCTAAAAACAGAAACACTCTTATCCGTCCAAAAATACTGTAATGCATTCGGGTAACAGCAGAAAAAGGCCAAAGCAGCGAGCGCTTCATTTTAATTTTAGAAGCTTTTTCTCCAAAACATGCGTTACGTGTGCTCGTTTCAATTTAATTACTTTAAATACGACCGATGGTTTTAGGCTCCTCGGTTTTCAAAGAAATTATTTGCAACAACAATTTCGACAAAAGCACCACTTTTAAAATTTCGAATCTTGGAAGCATTGATTACAAATTCAACAAATTTAATTTTAATCATAATCAAATTACATGCTTTTAATGAAGGTTGGGTGTACGTGATGTTTGTAAAAATGTCGACTCTTTCCACGTTTCGTTGATTATAATTGGCTAATTGGAATGAAAGAAGAAAGACAATAACCCCAAACAGTCCAGAACGACTTAATTAAAGTTTGAATTAAAAAATGTTAGCCAGTTTGAACCTATAGTTTCATAAAAATCGTTGTCTAGAATACAAAACTTTTAATTGAAATGTTAAAAATTTGAATAAAATTTAATGTTAATAGAAAAACTTCGAGAAAAATAATGAACGAAAAAGCCACCCATGTTATTTAAACAAAAAACACCGCATCTTTGAGTATTGTAAAGATAATCAGCAACGAATTGAATAATGAATTCAACAACTCAATTTATCTTTACTGCCGGAATAAATGTTCCCAATTCCGACCGGAAAAGGTTGAATTATTACTTCTGTATAAACGATAAAAATCAAAAGCAAAGACTTCAACGACACGCAGTAAAAAATTCTTCTTCCCGCTTTTCGTAGCAAAGAATTTATAAAATCTGTCTGTTAGGCTGCTATTTCCAATTTCACTGCGATATTAAACAAAATCTGGAGTAACTTTGAGACAATAGACGACGTTTAATAACTCGTCTCCGGTTTTAATTATATCAACCAACTTAAGATCCTTTAACTTACTCAAAACAGAATATTTTTATCATAAAATAAAATGAGGTATTTTAACTACTCGTCCTAACCACTTTACAAAAGATAACAGGTAAATCAGTCCGACAACTCTAGCAGCAAAGTAAAACTTTTACTAAACTATGAGTAAAAAGAGAATTCGTTGATAATTTACTCCAGCAAAATGAGCAATGTTTCCGTGCTTAATTGGAATAATTAAAACGTTTGTTCCTGTAGTACCTACCTCTTCTAATTTAAATTTTGAGATTATTTCAGCTGTTTGACTCAATAAATAACATCAAAACATTCAAACGATTTTGTTTCTGATTCGAGATTAATTCAATTAGAACAATTGATTATGAGATTATGAGATTATTTCTACCTAGCGAATTGTTTTTTAATTTAGTAACTGACATGTTCAGTTCATTATTTTATATGATCCAATAAAATCCAGTTGAGTAAATCAAACTCTTTTCAAGTGGTTTCTTTGAAGCTCCGCAAGTGAAAATTTATTTCTACCAATTAGTCATTTCAGTCATTAAAACTGTTAAAAGGTAATTGATTTTAGTTTCACATAAATTAAAAAATTGTAAATAACAGTTATGTTGTAACAACTTGACAAAAATAATATATTACTTTTGACAAATTACTTCTAACTACTGATCACACAACAGATAATTTATAACCAAGTGCTTGAAAGAACTCGAAAACATGAACTCTAACTAAAAATATTATAAACACTCCATTTCATTAATTTGCATACATAGAGGATAATTAAAATTGACTAAAATTATTGTACGAAGCAAAAACCATTTGTTGGATTTGGTAACTTCAATCTCTAAATTGGATTTTATTTAATGCATTGCATTTACTCCCTGATGAATTTGCGTGGCATCTCTAGCGTAGGTGATTAAGTAAATTACAGTATCTATTACGAATGCAATGTAACGCAGGTGTCAAATCACATTTCGTTCAAGCAAACTAACTTTTAAATGGCAACTTTTAATAATCAACGCAAGTCGAATGTTTGATTTAATTAGTAAACCGGTTATTTTTACTCCTCGTTAAAAATATAATAAAAATTAACAGTCCGCTTTATATTTTTTCTCGAATCCGATTAATTTCCAATTAATTCTCCAACGGTTTAAAAACAAATTCCATTTTTTCCATCTGCAATAATCTGCTACTTTTCTTATTTTCGCTAGTCATTGCTTATCAATTAATCAAGTTTATTCGCCCAATTTGTTATAACACAAGTGCAAAGTTTAATGAGTCAAATAATTATTTGGAAGTAAGCTAATTAGGTAATTAGAAAATCTGAAAATAGAAGATTACCATCTCATCAGTTATTAATAACTTCAATGATCAGTTAGTTGGTGCAGTAAAGGTTTGAAAAATAATAATCTAAAGTAAACTTGAACATTCCTCATAATACAAGTAGTAAAATTTGTTCAAACCAAGAAAGAATAATTAATGTTGATTGGGTTGCTTACTTTGTTGGTGGGTTGAGAGGCTTCACTTCATTACCTTGGAAAACTTTCCGGAATCATTTCCTGAAAAATATAAGAAATTAATAATGTTACAGTGCTTGTTTCTGCTTCATATGCAACATCACGCCAAGTAGGTACCAAACAAGCAAAATAAACAACAACTTTTAATTACACTTTAACAACTTACTTCAAGTAGTGAAGTATACATTTACGTCTGCTTAAGAGGATAATTACAGCGGTGGAATTTTTGTCGTTGATAAAGCAGAAACAAGTTGAAAGAAATTGCTAGTCATTTAAATATTTTCCAATTTCGCAATTTTGGAAAAGTATCACAAAATATTATATTTATTTTATCTTTTCTTTATTACCACATTCCATTTTATTGAATTGGCCGCCATATCATCTATACAAAAAAACTTGTTTGTTTTTTAACTGTTTTATTAATATGAAAATCGCGCAATAATGGCCATCCCGAAAATATATGTTTATCCAAATAAAAGCACTAAAACCCGAAATATGGTTGTTAAGAAAACCGAATTAGGCCGAAATTCTCATTACGGGTTCAACTTTAACGTTTTTAATCTCGCTTTCTTCAAGTAGGCGAAGAGATCAGGGTTTTATTATTTTTATCTTTAGCGTATACTGAGTTTTATTAAAAGTGAGTAAAGCCAATATCTTGTATGAAGATGTTGCACACAAAGTTTTACTTAAGATTGAGTGCTGGCAAGTGGTGGGTTTTTGCTTTTGAATGAAATATAACAATATTGCAGTCACATTTTTACATACTGAACGAATATCAAGCATCAAAATTGTTTTCGAAACGGTTGCTCACACAGAATAAGCCTTTACTTCATATATTATTAAAATGTAGCGAAGCATAAAATCCAAAACATGAGAAGTTATTTCAGACAAATATTTGCAAAAATGTTGTTTTGATTTAACTGCTGTTTTGTGTGTTTTAAATCATCTTATTGTGAGATTTCTTCGGTATATTTATACACGTCTCAAACAATCGGATTATTTTTCTTAACGTGGGATCATTTATAAGTGTCCAACCTGCTTCCATTGTTGCAAAAATAAAGAGGTAATCATTAGTACTTATCAAAAACAATTTACATAGTCTGAAAGCCGTGAAATTGCTATTTCAAATATACAAATGGAGCGATTTCCACTAACAATTGGGTCAAGTACTATTGAATTGTCAGTCTACTTATCCATGCCTCGAGCAATCATACACCGTCGTAGTATTTGTATATCCTATAAAAGCGATGGGAAAATTTGAGTGTATGTTGTCACCCCAAATGTAAAGTGGGTGTAAATGGTAGAAGCATTTATCAAAAAAAATATTAGGTGACAAAAACACTGCTTTACGAAGAAAAATGGCTATTAGTAGTATAAAAAAACCTACTATTCTTATTTAATTGACGCAGTGTTCAAAATAAAAATAGATACATAGTATTTGAGCTGACAAATCGGTGTATGAAAAGAGTGAAGAATACGAAGCTACTGAAATCATTTAAAACCTTCATCCTTTATCCTACTATCTCTCAAAACCAAATCCTCAACGTTTTTGATGTTTCCCGGCATTCTTGTTCCAAAAATCACTACTTTATTTAGGTCATCTTGAACTGATAGTGTCCTATAAAACTTCATTCAAATAAATGATCAAATAAAAATGATTCTGGGTTTATTGCACAAACATGTCTCCTCATACCTAATTATTCTGAAGCAAAAATGCATTTTTACGACTTTGTTTACGACCCATTTGCAAAAACACCGCTCCCAGCCTGATTACAGAGCAATTAAACAAATTAAAGAACGCGTACAAACGCCCGTCATTTTTATCATTCAGCAATCGGAAAAACTTCCATTCAACACAACCCCGCTAAACTTCGTTAGGTTGAGTTAATATTAGTGTAACTGGTTAAGTCCCGTTTTATAAGAGTTATCCTATGATGAACGATAATCAAATTCAACGCGCTTTCTGGAAAAAATTCCGTCTTCTATCAACAAACCCAATTCCGGCGCGAATTTCGCCAAATCCACTTTAACAATGGAATAAAATAAAAACGAGCGAAAGACCGATTTGAAGTTTTCGCCACGTTTTCATTTCAATTAATTTAGTCGAGTTAAACTCCCCGCAATTCAAAGTTTGTGAAAAATCGTGCACGCATTCAGACTCTTTGTTGAAGATAATCGATTCCACAATGACCCAGGTTTTTTATTTTTATCGACGTGACGTCAGTTTACTGAAATAAATTTATCGCAATCTTAATTGAAAGAATTAAAAGCTCGAGGCTTAATCCTCGATGAATAAAACACGCAAATTAACTGGAGACGAGTTGGGAATTTGAGATCCACTTTGATCCTTGACAACACTCATTCTGAGAGAAATTCGAAAAAGGATTCAAGTCCTCTCGAGACATGTGTCCTTCCACATGTGATGCTAGCTTCAGGATCGGACAATGGGTTTAAGACCCATCTTGTTAGATAGCAAACAGATAGTTGAGTGGATTATTTTACACGAAATTCGTTGACTAAATTAAAGTTACAATCTTTATTTTGAAACAGCTTGAAAACATAAATTTTACTACACGGTAGACACTATCAATTTCTAAAATTATATTTTAAATTTACTGATTTAAGTACAGGCGCGACGGCAAAGCCAATACTGCAATAAATTTCAAGTCGTGTTGGTGGAAAATATTCCGACAACTGTTTTTTTAAAAACAAATATGAACCAGAGGTAAAATTACTATTGATTGGGGTGAAATATGCACACACAATAAACATCAAACTTGATTATTCAAATATTAGCACTCCCATGATTTGATGAAATCATTATCTAGTTATACAAAGTCGTTTAATTAAAACTATGATTTATCTGTTGTTGCAGTTGCGTAGTTAAATTTTTTATTGAAATAAAAGACTCCACGTATGAACAGCAACATAAGTAATTCTGATTCCATAGCATTGATGCGTGCTGACTTTGTGAACGATTCAACATTTCATATTCCAAAAGCATAACCTGGACGTGCTTCCATCACTCTTACAATTACATAATTAAAAAACAACCAATATTCTATTCATTTTGCAAACGAAAAACAGGAAGCAGTGAGTAAAAATAAATCATTTGATTCTGACTTGCACTTCGCCCATCCAATTCAGGCCTCTTCCTTTTAAATCTTCGCAAGTTTGTGAGATATTCCAGTTGATGAAAGAGAATCCATCTTAGGGGACTTTGGACAGTTTTAGGACGCACCCGGATTCCCAAGTTTATCGATGCAATTGGCGAGAAAGGATTGCATTATTAGGAAATACTAGTATAGCAACTCCAAGTATATTCAAATTGAAGTAACCTAACTCTCGATCATAATTCTTCTGGTACGTACTTAACCTCTGTTTTTTTTCATACATTAATCTAGTGGCAAAAAGCGGCTTTTTACGCCCCTTCGTGATTAACAAAGAGCTTATTCTGTAAAACCTACATTCATGTCGGAAAAAAATCGCAATTCAAAAAACACGTTTACGTTTCTCAAGTTTCTCATAAATAATTTATTTTTAAAAATTGACTGCATTTTTAATGAAGGTCTCTTTAGGCTAAAAGCCCTATAATAAATCAATTTGCAGTTTATAACCCCACACTTTTAAAATTCGTCATGCAGTGCGGCTTTCATCGATTACATGGACATTAGCCATTAATAAACAACAAACGAACATTCTTCTGCAATGCTGCATCATTATATGCTAATATTGTGGAAACTTGCATGCAAATCCCGCTTCCATTTCAACACATCCAACAAGTCATCATCTAAATACCAAGATAACGAAGTGGATTTATGCTATTAAACCACAAAGACTCCAGGTAAAGAGAATCTTATATTTCCGCATCGTCATCTTGAAGTATGTCTTCTCGCACTTTTCTTAGCTTGAGTTTTCATTCTCATTATGTTTGTCAAGTGAAACGTGCTTCAGAATTAACTTAGACTAGAAAGAAAGCTACATTCAAGTCGAAACACCACATTAATCCAGAAAATGAATTAAAGAAAGTACGAAACGTTGTACAAATTAAAAGTTTCTTCAAGTAAACTGTAACAAGAATAAACGAGACAATTTTTAAATTTACAGAACTTTTAGCTGAAATTATTGATCACGTCGGATTCTTTGCTCTAATCTGTCACATCGCAGAATTAATAGTCGCATTCAAAGTATGCAAATCGTTGCTTAAGGCAGAAAATATAAGCACCTTCAGTTCTAAAATTAGTAACAATTTTTTGCAAATCGTGCAACCCGCCTTTTGTAAATTACAGTGATGACGATCAAGATTCACAATTAGTTGTTAGAGGTTGTAAAATGTTGTAGAATGATGAAGCACTAAAAAGACAAATTAGTAACCGAGATCGAAACAGATAGTCATTCTAGTTTAAAAAATATGTATCTCGAGAAAGCATAAGTGTTATCCCGTGGAAAAATTGTGAAAGCGGTTGGAAATGCACTTCTAAAAATAAGCGAAAAAACGTAACAAGACCCGACACTGAGTGGAAGAAATAATAAAACGTGGTGTGTTTGACAAAACGTTACCCTTTTGCCTCATCTACATTTATTTAAAACTTATTTAAAATAAAAACACGTGCTGATTCAGATGTTTATTAGCACAATTGTGTTGTTTTATTTCTCTCATCCGAAAGTTATTTTAAAATTTCATATGGCGTTGCCATATCTCACTTTAATAAATGCTTTGACATATTCCTCACAGTTGACCGGGTTTTGGCATCATTAGTCAACATTTGTCGTACATAAAATTGAAACGGGATATCAATAAATGCTAATAATATAACAGTTCGCGTTATTGATCAAATATTTTAAATTTTATATTGAAACAACTTCCAAGTGTGGGTATTTAGACGTATCATCCTTTAAATCCGTTCCAATACAAGAGTAGATTAAACATTTCACCGGTAAAATATGCAACTGCAAGCTTACAGTTGGATTATCTCCCGAACAGATACAACAAGCAATAAATTGATCTCGACGGCAGCCGCCAGATTATAAATTTAGGATTTTGCACTAAAATTAGTTTTCGGGCTATTTACCCTAGGGTCAAAAGTTCACATAGGCCAAATTTGCTCTTTCAGCTGATGAATATTGCTAATAAGAGACATGTCCTCCATTTCTACAAAGGTCAAGAAACACCTAATGTGGCAAAATTAATCCCAAGTATGTTTGCTCAAATTTTAACCTCTGAAAGTAATTACGACGATGGCCACTGAATAGAGGTACTACTTACAGAGTGAGCCTCAAGAGAGTAAACCCTTCTCTCACAACTCCACTTTTATTCATAAAAAATAGTCTGTTGACAACAGCTCCATGTTTAAATTAATATAAATCGTTTTCTCACATATTTGACAAATTATACGCTATGTCAATGTGTGCTGTTCAATAATGTATAAAGCAACTCATCATATTCGAACCACTTCTTGGGTAAGTAATAAATAATTACACTTGTTTAGCCATACTGAGTGTGCGGTTTCCTCAGAAAGTCTTCAGATGCAATTCTTATCGGTTCGAGTTTTCATATTGATTTGGCCAAAAAATGTGGTAACTTTTTTCCAAACAAACACTGTTTTCAATTTCAAAAACTGGTGATCAATAAGAAATGTAAGTGTTTCTGCAACAAAATCATAAGAGAAGTGGATTCCAGCGCTTAAGTTATTTTCGTGCTCTTATCGAAAAATGTAACAATCTTGTGCTGCAGCAAGTTCTGATAATAAAAATGATTGAGTTGAAAGTTTCTTCTGTTTCGGGGGCGAATTTACATAAAGAAAACGTTTGCTGCCATTCATTTATATTTACTATACTCTAAATAACTGATATTTTATGGTCTCTTTGCATACATAATGTTTTTTTATTTTTCAAATATTTAGTTACCAAATTATAATAACAGACTAGCAGCAAAAAATTATTTTTTGCAAGAGCCACAAAAGCTACTTTTATCGTTTTAATTTAAGAAACAAATAAACGTTTCGTTGTCACGTCACAAACAAGCCCGGTCGTAGGTGTATCTTTTCGTATCTTTTGAGGTAGCAATTAACATCTTAATTAATATGACAGTTGATCGGTATCAGCTTTAAAAAAGTTCCAACTATCTCTCCATTAAAATAATGCAAACATTTAGAGGCAAATTAAAGAATAAACCCTTCTGCATTAAAAGAATGAGTTTGTTCACTTTTTCCTGAATTTAAATTGACGATAACACAAATTTGATTTGACTTCTCATTAGTAAAGACGCATCTCGTCGGTTCTAATTCAAAAATTAATTTATTCATAATGGACTGTAAATGACTTCGGTTCTATCGTATTTCTCCTCCGACTATTTTTATTATTATCATTACGGTATCTCCGCATTATAAACCCATAAAAGTAGCGTTAATATAAGAACTATGACGAATTCCTTTACAGCTACATTAATTTTATTTGATTTTTTCAGGCATCCGTGGGTTAATTAAGAAGCAGAATGCTTCCTTTTCAATCCATGGGTAATTGTGTCGATCATGCGAGCTTCGTGTTTGTTATATTGAAAATTAGGTGAAAAAAGCGTGCCTGCGGACAATAGAACCAAGATCTAACAAATTTTTCACCTTTATATTAAATTTGAGTTTAAGCGAGTAAAATATTATTAAAACGGCTCGCACCTACACAGTATTATGCCACGACAATGTTTACTAGCTCAGACAACCATTACTTATAATCCTCTATTATACAAAGGAGATGCCACAAACTCATCAAGATCTTGCAAGCATGTCTGTACTCAGCACCTTTTGCGTTTCGGTTTTCAGCTAAATTTAATTTCTAATTAATTACTTACATAATTCGAAGAGTCTATTTTCCGAGAAAATATACAATTCCAAGCCCTAATGTTGAATCATTTTTCTTTAATAAATCGGTTCAAAGAACTTAACTAATGAATTAATGATTCTATAATAACAACTAGAGTTTTCTAAATTAGACCATCTAAGATTCTGAAGACCAGACCAACACGTTTACTAATAATTTTTTGAAATGTAGATAATTGTTATTTAAACTTAAAATAAATTTACAACAGGTTTCAGCTATTAAAAAATATACTTTATGTTGCTATCAACACCTTAGAATGTTAATAAGTCCAATAAAAGGAGCTTAAAATATTTTGCTTTTAAAATTATGACGTATAACATGAACTGACGTCTTTTTTAGAGAGGAAAATGCAGATTCATGCATCGTACATTCCAAGCCGACTCCTCAACACGGCATTATTAATATTTAGTTAACTTAAAAGGAGTCAGGTAAATCGTCAAAATGTTTAAAAATGTTTTTCAGGTTGACTCTACAACACTTGTTACAGCCGCATAAGCAACAAAACGAAAAATTTTCCACTTAAAAATTATAACTGGAGTAACGATTAATAATAATTTTCGCTCGACTTTTTGCAACCGCAATATTTTCAATATTTTTATCTCTTCACATTGTTTAATGGAACGAGGGCTTTTCCATTTTATTGCTATCAGTAACGTAAATAACGCAGTTAAATGTTATTATTCTTTTCCACCGATTTCACCCGACCCTCAGGATATAAAAGACCACGTCATCATTCTTGGGCGAAGTGGCGTTGGTCCATATTGTATCTCATGGAGAAACTTGTAAATTATATTGTCTATCCCGTTGGTTTTCTTTGATTGGCATTTGGCTAGTCATTTCCAAACTTAATCGAACATTCGAAACGCATTATCGAAATTCAACAATCCCGAAATGGAACCAAGTACATAATGAAAAGAAAAAAATCAATAAGACATAAAAACTAAATGATGTCTCTCATCGCATTTTTCTTCTCGTCCAACTGTGGATTATTTTATTTAGTTGAGTTTAACGACTCGATTTTTATAACAAGCATCATTAACTATTTCAAAATTAAAATGTGACAAGGCGATATTTACAACAGCCTTCCACTATATTTTAGTTTTTACGGCGCGGTTTTGATCCGATATCATCATTAAAATGGAGATTTCTAGGTTTATTCTCATTTGTCCAGCGCACATATGCGTGGGATATTTTTATATAAAGCGGACAAAATTAGGCTTTCCGGAGCTAATTAACCATTCACAAAAAGAATATTCCTAAATAAATTGCAATCAAAATGGAGATATTTTAGTTGAGCGAACCTAGTTGGACGGCTATTGAAAGCTTCATTGACAATAAAAGAGAAAATAAATACTTTAAAATACATTTAACGTTTGCTGCATTTCCTGAGACGACAGCTTGATGGCTACGTTAAAACTGAAATGTATGAAATATTAATAGAAAGGAAGTGATATATGTACAGGGTGATTTCATAGGTTTCATTCTTAATAAACTTCAAGTAACTCCGTTCAATCGCTACTAAAGTTACTGAAAGTTCAGCACAAGTTGTTTTGAGATTTAAAATATTATTTTTTTATATTTACAACAGCATATGGTAGACACATTAATTCTTTGTTAATAATATATTACATCAAAAACATCAAAAAAATGGTTATTTTGTCTTGAATCTTTTGAAGATATTTTGGAACGCTGTAAAATCAGTTAAAATATTGTTGTCAGTTTTTATTAATTTTTTTGTAACATGTTGCTCGCATTTTGTATAATTAAATGATTTAAAAAAATGTTCTTTTGAACTCCCTGCCTTCAAAATGACATTTCGCACACTAGTGCTTCAAAATCATCCAACAAGCATTCGCCTTTTAAAGCATTTCTAAAATAAAATAATAATAAAATTTGATTCAGAAAATGCCATTTGCCATTTTAAGTGTTTCAAATAAATCAGTATTAACTCGAGATTCATTTGATTGACACCTTGGCAAGCCCCAATTATTCAGTATTGGTAATAATCAATTAATATTAATAAGAAAAAATGCTATTGTTTGTTTCGAAAATATGTATTGTGCAAACTTCGATGTGCGAACAAGTACTCGGCACATTCTGCAAATAAAGCACTCGCACCTTTGTCGCTCCTGTCTAAATAATGCGCTTATGTGCGAAAAACCTTTCTCCCACTCGGTTATGTATTTTCTGAAAAAATCTTTTAACTCTTCAATACAAAACCATTAAAACTAATAAAAAATTTAATATTTTCAAAAAACATCATAATTAAGCTTTAAGAGTAGCTCGTTTTTTACTATTTTCATTAGAAATAAAAATATATGAATCGGAAATTGCTTATTAGTCCCTTTCTTGGTGCTTTAAAATTTCCAACTCGTTAAAGATGAAAAGTCGTCCGATAAAAGAAAATTCAGTCTTGTTGAACATATTAGTAAGTTCTAACTCACATCTTATTGTGTACCTACTGCATCTCTTTTGTCTTCATTCGTTGATTTTTGACAAATTGCAATTTGCTTTTTAGAATAACAAAACTTTTAAAAAATGTTTGCAAAAATAAATGTGGTACTGACAGAATTTTTACCTTTAAAAAAAGTAAAACACCAGCACCGATAAGCACTCGATCACTTGATCATCACCGGATCGTTTTCTGGTGAATAAATCGTGAGGAACATGTAGCTTCAATCGGCCGGAAGAGTTCCGGAAACGGTTCTCCGGAAGCCCGGAGCCGTTTATTTAAAAATGAGGTCGTAATGTTGGCACGTGCTTCATGAAGACGCGCAGGACACTCACAACAACGACGGTCTCTAGTGACACTGAGGCTCCTATCCTGGCAAAGCCGTTTGAAAAGCGCCGGTTAGAGATGCGTCAGGCTACGGAAGCTGCAGCCTTATATCCCTTCCACGTTTCTCTTCCCATTCATGCCTGCTCTGGCACACCTCGTGCTTCACACAGGTGGGGTAGAGGTAGGTGGATTCTGATCGATAATAATTGCGATGACTGATGACCGATGTTCTTTTATTAAAACACCAGCACGGAATTCGAAAGTTTTTTGCAAAAACTCAGGTTTGATACAATGTATAGATAAAGTTACAGTTACAGACGAGCTTCTTCAGTTTCGTTTATTTGCAAAGATGTGCGACAAAAAGTCGCAAAACAAGTGGAACTACTGGGTGGATGAAAATGAGATAAGTTTATTGTTTCGTGCTGCCAGGAGTAAGGAAATGAAATAGTTAAAAGTGGCACTTTCAGACACTATTTTATTTATATTATTTAGATTTTTACTTGGATCTACTGTCAAATCTGCAAACTCCTACATAATTAATGAGCTTTTAAAACATACACTTTATTACAGCTTAAGTACAGTTCTCATCGCAAGAGAATTTAAGTTAAAAACATTGAAAAAATGTTTACAAAATTCTCTGTTAAAAAAATTTGACATTTATTCTTCATTTGTCCTTTTTATGTCTATTTAAGGTTCCTGATGATCTTGTATATGTTGTTTCATAATTATTCAGTAACGGCGCAAAAACTTTGCCAATAAAAGCCACAACATACAGCTTCTTTGTTTCTCGTTACTACATAATCGCCTGCAGCAAAAAAACATGTAAAATTATATTTCCAACAGAAATAAATAGGGTCAAATTGCAAATTTAAAACCCCATAAGTTTTAGAGATAGAATTTTTCAACATTTTTTTCCGTGTTCCTGACTGAGGGCATGGTAAACCAGGCGGAAAATCAGCTAACCGGCAGGTGTTGAAACCTCGGTTCGAGTTTAAGTTATATCTTTGCAATTTTTAATTAAAAAAATATAAATTCTAAAAACAAAATATGAAAAGTTGAAAAAACGCCGATGTCTTATTAGGTCTTTCCAAAAAAAGTGCCTTTGCGTCTTTTAATTGTTTTTTTAGGAAATCTATGAATTAATGATAAAAAAGTATAAAGCATCAAGAATGTAATTAGGTCATTTTAATATATTATTTTTAACAATAAATTGGGGGAATAACCCTGTATAAGCATAACAAGATTATGCTCGGCTTTACCTCTCGTTGGTTCCTAGGGTAAAGTATTAAATATGTTTTTAATTATTTTTTAAAATGCCATAAACCTACAAAAGAAAAACAGAAAAAAAATGTTAAAGCTCTAACGTTGAAAGAGCAATAGAAGTTACATGTAATAAATAATTCTCCCACTTTCCCCTATTACAGGAAAGAACCAAACTTACTATACAGGATGCACCAGAACTCGCGCCCCAGAGAAAAATGCCATGTAAGGTAAAGTACCAGAAACATGGCAAAAATGTTTAAAAAATTCTGCCTATAGAAATTTTGAACTTATCAGAGTTTAAATTTTGCACTTTGACTCTATTTCTATCTGTTGGAAAAATTATTTTCCAAGTTTCTTTGCTACAGCCTATTAGAACAGAAAACGAGAAAGCTTTATCCTAAATTGTAACTCTTGTTATTTGTGGCTTTTATTGTCAAAATTTTTGTACCTTCATTAAATATCAATAAAAAACATATACAAGATCATCAGTATCATTAAATAGACATCAAAAAATGTCAAATGTCAAAAAATAAATGTCAACATTTTTTAGCCTAGAATTTTTTCACAAGTTTTTTCCAGGTTCCTGGTATCTCATCTAACTTGAAGCTTTTCTCTGGGGCGCGAGTACTGACATACCCTGTATTTTTCTGTTTGGAGACAAAATTATCATCACATTTTGTATACATATTTAATCAAAATTTGCCTGAACGCACCATTAATTAAAATTTTGCATAAAGAACCTTATATTAAAATGTGTGGTGTTAGTTAAAGTTAATTAATACTTCTATATGCACATCTATTGTCATTTATTATTAAAAAGCATTTGTGAGTGGATAATGACTGTTATTCATATGTATATACATATAACGCAACGCATAATATTGACTTTAATATGCAGTTGCAATTACTTTTTAAAACATAAAAGCAAATACGAACATAGAAAAATATGGGATAAAGTAGGTAAATGTGACGATTTAATTAAAATGTATTATAGCAGTAAACAAGTTTAAAAATTTTAATGTATACAGTACAGCAATTAGTTTGCTAATTCTTTAATAATCTAAATAATGCGGACTTTTATTGCTACAAATTACTAATCAGTTTTATATCTCCTTTCAGAATTGTGAATAATGAAAAATTTAATTAAGTAATATTTTATAACAATAAAAAATGCAGATGTGCACTAAAGTAAGATTAAAATTTTTCCAACATTTTACGATTGCTATAAATCACAAACTAAACAAACGTCAAAAATTTTGTACAAAAATTGTCTTTAAATAAATTTTCTCCGCAAAAAATTACACTTTTATGACTAAATGACACAAGAAAAAGTTTTACTTTTCAGACAAGGAGTAAAACACTGTTTTTTCGCCTAATCGTTTTTTATACTTTACTTAACCGAATGACATTGCTGTTCCATTTTTTTTTCGGGCACCCTTAAAATTACGTGTGAAATGTCTTTATAACTGCAGGTATATTCATGCTCATTTGTCATTAAAAACATCCATCTGGCTGCGCTACTGGAAAAGCAGGAGAGATTTCAAAATTTGTTGAAATTATTTCTGACATATAAATTGGGTGTAAACGTCTCTGTAACAAGTAGTCCAGTGTATTTGAGCCTAGCGTCATTACCATATTGTGGCGCAAATAACGAAACAAAGAATTCCATAAATCTAGGCGAAAGCGCAAATAGAACTCGTAAATCTGCGAGTTTATGCGACTTGAGAGGTAACGAGACCTGCTGATACAGTTGTGAGCAGGATACATGGGAATTCACAAAGAGGAAGTGTCTATCTCATCTCCTCGGAGATAAGAACGTTCTTCCAGCATTGATGCAATTAAAGCACCCGTAAAGTGTTGGTGTCTACTCTTGTGTGCCTACATTCTGATAATGGAACGGAACAGGATCGTATCACTTACTAGAGTTATTTTCTTTTCAAAAGATTTTACTTCAAGGACTGTCTTAATTAACCGGTTCGAAGTTAGGCGCAAAAACAACTCGAAAAACGCAATTACGAGAGTAATTGAAACATAAATTTTGCAGGTTTCAGCACTTTAACTACAAGAAATATTGATTTTTAAAACATTTTAGAACGAAAATTGCAAATATGTGCATTCTGTGCCAAATCTAAGATAGTAGCTCCGTATTTTCATACTGCCTTTTTTTAATTGTTTACAACTGTTTAACAAACCATTAAAAATCCATGCATGTCTATAAAATCACAGCCACCTGAAGAGTGTATTGTTAACACGTTACGGATACTTTCTCAGGGGAAATCACTGTCAGGGAATGATTACCTGCTACTTTAATTATTTACGAAAAGAATGTATCTTTCTTGAGATACTGCAAGTTCATTCTGCAGTCTACATTCGACTGTATCAACTTTATTAGATATTATTATCGTTAAAAAACGTCAAGAAAAACAAAACTTCCCTTTACTTAAATCAATTTGAATATAGTCTTATTTAAATTATTCAACATCTCTATTCTGGCTGTATAAAACATCACTATCCATGCTTGGTATGTAAAATAGCAAAATACCGAGCAAAGTACCTACTATTGCTGAAACGTGAAACAGAAACGATGATTTATAATATGGTATTCAACTGTATATCAGGGATACAATTTACGTTCTAATAAGAGTCAATAACATTTATTTGCAAAAAATCTACTTTATATTCAACAAAGTTGCAATACTATAAAATTCCGCAAAGCAAACTGTTTTTTGTCGATATTTTAATGAACAATGATTGAGTTTGAAATACCCACAAGTCCAAAATTTTCGTTCATTATGGTGCTGCCCTCTAGCACGAAAGAACAAAAGTATAATGTGTTAAGTACAGAACTCTGAATTTTAGCCATGTGTGAACAAATACATGAGCCAGGCTCTTTTGGTTCATCTATGTTTGGAACTAGTACCCCAGGGAAACATGTTAAATGTTGGCGACAGAAAGTTACCAAAAACTATAAACAAGAATTTAATTTTGCTTGTTTGCATAACAAAGTTGCGAACTTTCAAATCCATCAATTCCCAAAGGGCAGTTCGAGGTCTACATAAATATTTTCGAGAAAATAGTATTCAACAATTTTTTTAACCCAAGTTGTCTCTAATCTAAAATTTTCTTATTCTTTCTTTCACATGTACAGGGTATTTCACACAACTTTACGAGGTTTGCGCCTAATGTACGCACCCAAATATACAAAAGTCACAAAACACTGGATACAAAAAATATACATTTAATTATTTAATTTTTAGAAACCCATGACATTAGTTGTCAAACTAATCACTGTTTTATTAATAGTCATAAACTGCAGTTTTTCAGAAACAAACTTGTGTATAATTGGTTGCATATACAACAGCTTTGAGATAAGAAAAAATTGGTATAGATTTGAAACAGAAAATAATAATTAATAAAATTCTCAACACACTAAACCTTTTATTAAACGTCATGTGCTTTGCCAACCAAATTGGCATGATAAAACTCAACTGTTGAGATTACCAACATTTTGGCAAATTATGAGAATATACTAGGGGCAGTAGAAAAGTTATCTGCAATGAAACAAGACGTAAATTTTTTTGATAATTTTATTTTTAAATACATAATCCCTTTCTACATCAATACACTTTCGCCATTTCTCCTCCAGTAAATGTTTTCTCTTGACTAAAAAAATTCGTCGTTGGCTATTTTTAAGCCATCATCAGAATCAAAACAGGGTTCTCGAAAATTTTTCTTTAGTAATCGAAAAAGATAAAAGTTAGACGGAACCAAGACCGGACTATAGGAAGAATGGCCTGTCTTAACGAAGCTGAAAAATTGGCTTAATTTTGGCAGCCTTATGCCCGGTCGCATTGTCACACCAAAAACAAGTTCTCAATTAGAAAAAATGAGTCTTTTCTGGTAAATTACTTTACGTAAGTTTTCAACGTGTTTGCATAGATGTCCGCATTTGTTGTTGGCATTTTTAGCATACATTCAATGAGAAGGATGCCCCTGATGTCCCGAAAAAACACTTTCACTTCGGGGATTGTCTTCAACGGATTATCGTCCACATCATAACTGTTTCGGCTAAAATTTTATTGTGTAATGTGATGGTGTACCATCCTTATAGACGGCATTCGTTCTCTCATGGATTGTTTTCGGTTAATGGCCCTCTTTTGTACAAAAATTTTATGGCACTGCGTTACTCCAAATTTTGAGTTACTCATTTTTCCTCACAATTCCCTTTATAAATTGGAAACTAATTATAACAATTAACTCAAATTTTGCAGGTAATGTTAGAATACATGGCACTATTTGGATATGTTATGCTTGGGCGTTTCATTTGTTTTTTTCATGGTTAGGTAGCCTAAAAATTCCACATCATTTTTAGCGCAGCAGATTTCAAGTAAGGTTTAATTTAAACCAAGGCTGTTTCTGATCAATTTTGTCACTTTCTTGTAGAAATCACGTCACTGAAAACTACGAATAGATTCATAAACCCTAGTTCAAGTTTGAGAAAAGTCTGAAGCAGGTAGTTGATAGTGTTTAAACATTTATTTTCTTTAAAAGAACAATAAAATAATCACAGTAATGAAATAATATACAACCACCTACCTTAGTTTACTTAAATTGTATATGTACAATATAATAAGAGTCAAAAAATAAAATATAAAATACTGATTAACAGTGCGAGCTAATAGTAAAACAGTTACAAATTTAACAAAACTGCTGATTATGTAAATTCTGTAAGCAAAACTAATTATCGAGTACAAATGTTATAAAAGTGAAAAATAGGCACATATTTAATTGACATGATTTCAACCGACTGGTACCCATTGACTCTTTCTATGTTCAGCATCAACGGCGGCTTTAACTTGGGCACATACGTGTGCCACATTCGCCCCAGCTGCTACAACAGCTGTCACCAAATGTCGGTATTCAGCTTCTAATTTATGTCCGTGTTCAAACATCTCTTTCGCTGCTTTGCCAGACAACTTGTCCAAGCTGTATCTCAAGGCGTCCTTCACTTCCCGGATCTGCTTGGTACTCTTGAACTTGATGAGGAGTACCACCGGGTATATACCATGACGGTGAAGCCGCTCGACACTACTTGCAGCCACGTCTAACATACAGTGGAGGTGAGCTCGCGAGACTTGTCTCACTGCGGCCACAGTGACACATTCCCAGCAGCTCCCCCGTCGGCGGTACTCCACTAAGTGGCCATCGGCCAACTCCCGATCAAGTTGGGCCTGAGAGCAACGTCGGGTCTCTGCAGGAGCTCGTCCGAATTCATCCGGGAAATCACTAACTAATTTATCCACAACACATTCAGCCAAAGGACCCAACACCAATACAGGTCGAAACTCAGGGAAAGGTAATCTTTCTACTCTCTGGTAAGCCGGAGGAGGAGCCGGCTCTTCATGCAAAGACCCGCCATCGGAATACCATCCTGGGCCTGCAAGACTACAAAAACTGGCTAGTTCTTTCGAATGCCTTTGGTGTTTTTTCCGCCTGAAGAAACTCCGACGTGCTATTGATGATCCCACTGAAACCGGACGTCCGGTTTGATCCAAATCGGCACCTCTTCGCAAAAGCATCTCTTCCTCAACTTTGTATTTACTCGGGATTACTCCACATTGCTGTCGCCGACCTTCGTTATCCAACCTCCAAGCACGCCATTGACCTGGAACTCCATTAAACATCGTATTGTCGACATAGAGGACATCGTCTTTGGCAAAAGCGAGTTGAGGTGGCTCCGTGTGTTCATTCCCAGAACGGTCAAAACCGCAACGGACGTATAAGCTATCGCCTGGCTTATCTTTAATTTCGTTATATCCTTTGAAAAATACAGCAATGAAAAAGTTTGGTTAAATAAAGTGACTTACTATCGATGCGGTAGTGGGCTGAAACGGTGACTTTATCGGCCGGTTTGGCCAATTCATATGCAGCTTCTTCAGCTGTGGCATTCCGAAGGTCACTTCCGTTGTATTCCAGAATTTGATCCCCAGTACGTAAGCCGGCATGGTATGCAAGAGAGTCCGGTTGAACCGAATGAATAAAAATACCGGCAGCGTTGCCCCCAACTAGGGAAATCCCCAAATTTGAGGTTTTTAGCGTTTCGATGTATAGGAAGCGGGGCTCATCGTCGTCTCTAATATAAAATAAAATAACAATTAATTAACCAAATCGCAGTATGTACTTAATAGTATTACCTAGAGCTGTTATTTTGTCTTTGCAGTGATGAAGATTGCTGCCCCACTCTTAACAAAGAAGTCGGCGGTGGTAACTTAGTAATGCCCACTGGATGAGATTTTCGTATTTCTTTAGGTGAATTACATGGTGTGGTCTCACCATCACCTTCGTCATCGTTTGAACTTGAGCCAGAACAAGAGCCCGAACCTTCTAATTCGTTGTATTCTACAAAAAATAATGAAACATATTATGACGCCCAAATGAACCACTTACTATCTGGGCTGTATTGAACCAACATAGTGATGGAATTCCCACATTGTCGCAACACATTCGCTGCTAGATTATACGTAGCATTCCGCATGTTAATCCCACAAACTTCCAACAACTGATCCCCGATTTGTAATCCCACTCGACTCGCCAAACTATTATCATTTACCGTTGATACAAAAATCCCTCCACTTTCGCGACAATTGATTTGAATTCCTAACGGTTCGTTCGACTTGTCAATATGAACGCGTCTCAGTTCTCCTGGTAGAGGCTTATACTGTCCCCCAACCCACGAACAACACTCCTTGCCACTACTACCGGCCTCGCCCGGACTCAAGACTTCAACATGAAAAATCGGCATTGGACTTCCTCGTTCCGAACTTCTCTCTATGCTCCCGGTGCTAACTTTCGATGTAATGCTCGGGTTTGAGGGTACTACAAATCGTTGGTTTTTCCTCGGAAACGTCCCCCCTTCCAGAAGATCCGTTTCTCGGTACGGCATTGGACCGACAGGGTTGATCATTTTCCGACTAGCGCCATCTACAGAGGGACTATGTGTGTGGTGAATCGAGTGGTCGAAATCGACATGAGGGTGTGGGTGGAAGGGGTAGTAGGTCCGTGGAGGTACCCAAAACTGGCTATGGATACGGCTATGGGAAGTAGGTACAGAACTGTTCCCTTGGGAAGACTCAGTGTGACCTATGACACTGTCTCGATCGCAATCAAAGGCATATTTTCCGAGTTTGTTTTTCTTGTAGTACGTATGGACGTCTTTATCAGCGTAGCGATGAACTGGGTAATCGAGACTGTTGTCGGAATTCATGTTGGCACTTAGGCGGTTCGATGGGGGCGAACGAAGTTTTTCGAAGGAATCCCCAGTGGTACTAAAGTGGGAACCACCGCCGTCTACGCTTTTGTAGACGGAGTGGCGGTTGCTTGGGCGAGGACCCATAGAAGCTATGGGCAATGGCACAGGAGTGGAATTTCTAGAAAAAAAAAATGTGTCTGTTGTTCGAGTCACATTGCACAGGTCAGCGAAATTAATTTTTTTTTGGGGTTTGAATTATTTTGGATGAATTTGTTAACTAGGTGCGTATCCATTCGTTTGACACCACCAAAACTTTTTACGTAAAATTTTGTAATCGGAAAGCAAAAAAATATTAATATGTTCATATTTGTTGAAATTTTGGTGTTTCGAGTTGTTTTTTTTTTTTCTACGAATGTTAACTAAATATGCTCCATTGTTAAGTGAAATTTAACTATATTAAAAATTAAAGAATTTGCAACAATTTAAACATTTATTTGAGGGTTTAGCATTGATTTATGTTACTGTTTGTGTAAATATGTAGTTAGACTCGCATACCTAACTTTAAAAAAAACTATTATTAATTTCCTAATTTAACATCTATTCTGTTTATGTCAATGAAATGTTTATTAAATTGCCTTTTATTTGAGGTATCACAAGAGGTACGTTGTCATTTAAAAAAATATTGGGAGTGGGGGGGAAGTGTAGAAGGGGTGAATCTCGATTGTGTGATGTGTATCAAATTTTGCATTTTTTTAAATTAAAAGTTGACGTGTTTTAATGGTTTTAGTGTTAATATCTCTTAGCAAGTTACAGCTTGACTTCATTACTTTTTGCATTGTATATGTAAAATTTAAATCTGCATTATCAATTTTGAAAATTGATAGAAAAAATAAAAATATATGTATTAATATAACATTTTACTCTTCACAACACACTACAAAGATTCTAACCCCAGAATCATGTTAGCCTATGTTATTTTTTCTACACCAAAATAATTCAATTAGGTGTCACTACGGTATTATTATTATACCTAATTATTCAATCAGGTATCCGTAGGTGTCACTTATCAACAAATAAAAAAATTAAAAAAAAACTCAAAGTACGTAACATTAATTCCTTGATAAAAGTACTAAGCACCGCCACGTTAATTGATAAGGTATCGATCTCAGAGTATATTTATTAAGATATATCTTTTAAGAGTATTATTCCAATATCCAGTTAAAATTGGTTTACTAACCTGTGATATTCAGCTCCTGCCTCCTTCAACAAACTCAAAGGGGGACGTTCCTTGTTTCGAACGACCACAGTACTTCCAAGGACTGGTTGAAGCAACGCCGTGGCTTTCGCTTTAGGCCACGTTCCCCCATTCTTCTCCTGTTCCTTGGTACCTCTTTTCGTTCGTTTCACAGTCCCAACATTAGCATTCCCCCTGTAACTATCCAAAACCAAGTCCAATTCGGCAATGGCTTGTTCCGGATCGGCCAATTCCAAAGGACTGGGCGAACTGTTCCGATATTTTTTCTTATCGTTATCTTTGGTATGACGTCTACCTCTCATCAGATCAATCTTCTCTTTAAACCACGCTCCGCCATTATTTTTCTCTTGCTGATTGGAAAGATAATCGTGTTCATCGGTCTGGGAACTGCGATTTTCGCGCTTGTGACGCCGAACAGGGGTGAAGACATTGGGACACTCTGGATGGCTTATCTTCAAAGCTGTGACAGTGATAACGTCGACGGAGTCGTCATTAAGGACCCGCATTGCTTCGTGGATGCTTTCTATGTCATCCATGGATTTTTCATTGATTCTGAGTATTCGATCTCCTATTGAAAGACTCTTATCTTTGGCGGCAAGACTCCCGTCGCTTATTCTACTAATATAAACCCCGGTATTTAGAGTAAGGCCATGACACCCGGGCACCAATCGCGCAGTATGAACCCATTTGGTAACCTGCGATGGTATGCTAGGTGAAGGACTCGGCCCTCGCCTTCGCCTCCTACTAACGACGATTCTCGCCACCGGAAGACTTGCCCTAATGGCTTCTATTACCATCCTTCGCGATACAGCACTACAGTCAACATCGTTGACTCTTGATATGCGATCATTAGGTCTCAATTTTCCGTCAGCTATAGACCCCTCGGCCACAGCAGCGACATACACAGCGCCATCTCCGGGAAAATGTGGATCATCCCGACCTCCAGCCAACTCTAATCCTAAATCGGCCGTTCCATCACAAGTCAACTCAACTTCCAGTATTTCGGTACTATCGTCAATATCACTGTGATTACCAAAATGATCATCGTCATGGTCAACAATATGAGCTTCCAGCATTTCCTTCAAAGCTTTAACTTCTTTAAGAAGCTCGTTTCGTTGTTTTTTCAAAGCGTCTGACTCGCGAAGTGACTCGGCAAGTTCCGAGACGGCCCGATCGCGTTCTTTGCGCATATTATCACACAAAGTCCTTATACTTTCGCGTTCTTGGACGATTTTATCACGTTCGGAAAATGCCCAGTCTCGTCGCCCTTTTGAAACTTCTGCCTCTTGGATAGCTTCAGACAATTCAGTTTGAGCCTTATCTAGACTCTTCCTTAAAGACTCCAACTCTTGATTAGCTTGATCCAAATTATCAAGTCGTTGCCTTTGCCCAATCGTACGAACATCCGACTGGAGGGCATCTTTCCGACCCACATTTTCACATGGACCACCTAATCCCTCCAAGTGCCTAGACCTCGTCTGCTCCCTTCTCCGATTATCGTCATTGGAGGCCCCCAATTCACCAAACTTCTCTCGCAAATCGGCGCACTCCTTCAAAGCTTTATCACGCTCATAGAGGGCGCTCGCGATTTCACGTCGGAGGGACTCCAATTGGTACCCAATTGCTTGTTTTTCACCGACCAACTCTTGATTGTCAGCGTCCAACATTTTGCCTTTTTTCAAAGCTTGTGCTAAATCGTCGCTCAACTTTTCCATTTCTTTGTGAACTTGATCTCTGAAAATTGACTATTAGATAAAAAAAATTCACAAAGCGGGAATAAACCTCTCGCTCATTACTAAAGTGTATTCTGCTAGAGTTGCGTTCCGTTCGTCGGTTAAGCGTTTCACTTCTTTGTTTGCTTTGATTTTTATTGCAACGATCTGTTTTTCTGCTTCCTCATATTGTTGTTGGACTTTTTGGTGGGCTTTGTAGTACTTGAGAACCTGCTGCTTCAAACTGTCTATTTCTCGTTGCTGAAAAATTACATATACAATAATCAACTCTGTAAACTGTAGTTGATTAAGTGTGAATATGAGAATAAACGGTGACGAAAGGTGGGTGATAACGTGATACTCCTAAAAGATTTATCTAAACAAGAACTTTCCAAAGTTCAAAGAATTTTTAATAAAAGAATTAATTACATAAATTTTTTCAAACAAACAACTTAATGCTTGGCTATTAAATAATTTATGATTTAAAATGAACAGAACAAAAACTTTCTAATTACACAATTACAAAATATGATTTCAAATTGAAGAATTATTTATCACAAGTTGAGAAATGAGTTGTTATTTACAAAAGAATTTTATAGCTCAAGTAGTTGACTCACTGTAATTAATTATGGCAAAATTAAAATCTCGAATTTACTCTGTACACAAATATTTTCTCCTAACAAGTTGCACCAAATAAACAGTCTTTCTGTTGACAATAATAATTAGTACTCATGTCCTTAAACAATATTTAAAAAGAGAAATTACCGAAAAAAAACATTTCATTTAGGATTAATCAGAGCAGAACAGCTTCTATTTTATGTCTGAACTGCAAATTGGATTTGAATTAAGAGCTTCCTAGAAAAGTTCTCTATTTCCTGTAGAAAACATTGCAATCATGCATTCTCTGTTTTATCGTTTCACATTGTAGGCTTACTGTACAAGTACAAAATAAAGTCGTAATTTATTTTTCATGGCCAACAAAGATACACAATTTTAATACAAAAATAAATACATACTGCATTATTTCTTTCTTGTTCAAACTGCTTCGCTAACCGGTTATTCTCATCCTTTGCCAGTTCCAACTTTGATAAAGCTTGTGAATGCGAAATGTACAAAGAATCTGAATTTCCATTTTCTGCAAGCAAAACAACATCCTGCTGTTGTCTGTGCACCTCATTTAACTCTTTTCTTAATCTCTGGTTTTCTTGTTCCAATCTCTGTTTTTCACTTAACAATTCTGAGTATCTTGTTCTGAGAGAAGCAGAGTCTTGAGATGACACTTCGAGTTGGTTCATTGCCGCTCTGTGTTGTTCTCTAAAGTAGTCCAGATCCTACACAAAAAAATGCATGAAATTATTTGACAACGGTCATCAAAAATCTTTCGTTTTTATTAATTACAGGACAAAAGACAGGTCTATAAGAATTTGAAACGAATGTTAATGTAAATTTGATGTAAAATAAGTTAAGTTTCTAGAAAGCATTGATTGCTAAGTCCTAGCAACGCTTACTTTTAAAATCACTTTGGTAGTGTTGCTGAAATAATAAAATAAGAAATTAAAAATGTTGTTAATTGACAAGGTTTATGTTCCATGGCAACCAATAAAAATGTTATAATTTAGTGATAACACCAAAGCACTATCATGTTTTACAATTAGAATTACAATTTATCCATTTCGTCGGAAAAAAATTGAATGTGACATAGCAATTTTTAGTTCGGTATAGTAACAAGTGACAATAATTGGTCTTTTTCGTAAAAATCGGGTTAGAAAGTCTTACATTGAGAGCATGATCGCAACGTCTTCTTGAGTTGCTTAATTCACTGTTGGCTTTTTCGTATTGTTGTTTCAGTGTGTCATAGTCCCTTGAAGCATTTATGCTTAAATTCCGCGGCGAAGTACCTGAAGAAGTAAGTCATAAATTAAGTATGTTATAGAAGAAATTGAAAATTCTTACCATTGCTTCCACTACCATCGCTATTTGACGCCATCACACCCTCAGGATGCTACAAATTCAGCAAAGATTAATAAAAAGTCTCAACTGGTTTAACAATTATTAGAATTTAAATTAAAAAAAACACTTTAACTAATAAACTGCAAGATGTGAAAGTACTTTATACACAATACAACTAGAATAAATAAAAATAAAATAAATCACAAAGCTTTTTGCATTTTTCCATAAAATAAGAAATACTTCCTACATCATTTTGGGATTAACGGTAAAACATCACTTTTGGGTATCACCCTTTTGGGTGTGTTGCTTAACGATATCAATGTCTCTGGGACTTACCCGTGAATTCACGAATCATCACATTTGGTTATTCCTAATTTAATTTAAAATTTAACCACTAACCACCATCTTTACTGCTACTTCGTCTTTTATCATGGAGTGTCAACACATCGGCATCTTGAAAGAATACGCATGCGCAGTTGCGGGTAAAAGTCCCGTTTTAATCGCCGAAATTTGGTTACGCAGTTGGACGAAGTAACTAAAACTCTTCATAGCATCACAGATTCTAGCAACTACATATTTCAAACAAGCAAGTAACTCTTCATTTTTTTTATTTTAAACGTTTATTTTCATAATGCGTAGCAAACAAACTAAAACAATTTGAGAACATTTATTTTACGTCCGAAATATTGATGAATATTAGCTTTAGAAATGTATTACTGGGTTGTAATAAACATTCAGTAAACAATTTAATTCTGTTCGGTACAAAATGATTTCTAATGTGTTATTGTCCATTTTGTTTCATTATAGTATATTTGGTGTGCTTGGACTTGTTATTGGAAACAACGTTTCAATTTTTATTCAATCTTCATCAAGCCGTCAATTGTTTTACGAAAGGGTATTTGGGTTTGACTGACTGACAGTATTCTGCATTGTAAAAATAATAAATAATAAGTAAAGCAAACATAGTATTTTATCATAATTTGTTCAGTATAAAACTGCACAGTAAAAAAAATCCAATTTGCACAGTAAAAATAATTTCAGTTCAGTTCAGTAACTTTAACATCAAATTACATACTATTTATTTTCAATCTTGGTTATACAGAACGTCTCGTATAAGTCGTAACATTTGATATAACGTTTTTTTTTTTATTAGTTTGACGTCAAAGCTATTCATGAAAGTTTAATCGTGAAGAAACTATGGCATTTAATATTAATCTGACGTTTGACACCTCGCCTCACAACACATTCATATTACCAACTTTAACGCCAAATTTAAATAAACACCCGTTAAACGTTCGTAGATAGTAAATTTGAAGTTGCTTCTTGCTGCTGCTAATATTACAAGAAAATCTTCGAGCAAAGCTTCATTTGATAGATACGTATGTAATACATGTTTTGTCAAAACCTCAGGTCAAAACACAACTTTGATTAAAGAAAAAAATATTTAAATAATTACTTTTTGTTCAAAACCTTTTCATTGAGTACACAAAAATAGTATATTCAACTCGTATGAAAACAATTTATTTTTACTTTGTTACTGCATTGTTATAAAAAATACTAAAAGTATTTTGAAGAAATACACAATTTTATTCTTCCACACATTTACGGTTTTTCTCCCGTGTAAGGAAGTTTTGATAAGTGTTTGACATGTCTCAATACGAAACGTCGGATTATTTTTAACAGATTTAAAGCAAGTTTAAGCTTTGTTGAGTCTAATTCGAAGAATAAAATGTTGTATTCAACTCGTTTGGGTGTAACTCGGAGGCTTTATTCCACCTCGTGGATGATAAACCATTCGTTGCACTCGTAGTTTAATTTACACTCAAACTCGTAGAATAAATAAATATAATTATAAAGCAACAATATTTTTTATGACCAACGAAGAAAACATTTTTATTTTACACAACACAGGCTTTGCTACTAGGCAACCAGTAATACACACTAAATGAAACTCAATTACTTTTAAAGATGAACTTAATATTCAATTTCTTTCCACAATAAAAAAAAAATTGACTTTGTAATAATTTTTTTTTTCATTTAAAGCTTGGTCAAGAGCGAAAGCAGAATTGGGTTGAAATTTGTTTTAATGAAAAAATCAATTCCTTTAATTTAGATATTTTAAAACTAAAGTTCAAAAAATGATTACTTACCTATAAAAATATAAGAAAGCAATTACTACAAAAAATGTTTTTGTTTTTTTATAAAATTTTAGCAAAACTGGGCCTTGCAGTGAAATAATTCAAAAAAAATAGCTGCATTGCTTTATCATTTTTTAGAGTAGTACTGATTTGATACTTATTCGAAATAGAGGATGCGCCAGAACTCGCGCCCCAGAAAAAAATGTCATATAAGGTAGGATACCAAGAACATGTAAAAAATATTTAAAAAATTCTATCTAGAAAAATTTCGAAGTTATGAGAGTTTAAATTTTGCACTTTGACTCTGTTTATTTGTTTTTTTTGGCAAAATAATTTTCCAAGTTTTTAATACAGGCTATTAGAAGAGGAAACAATGAAGCTGTATCCTAAATTGTAACTCTGTTTAATATTATTTGTGGCCCTTATTGGCAAAATTGTTGTACCTTTATTAAATAATTGTAAAAAGAACCTATACAAAATCATTAGCATCATTAAATAAACATAAAAAAAAAATTTCCAGGTTGCTGGTATCTCATCTGATTGTTTTGGGTCAATATAACTGTTTTTTTTTATCTTAAAGCTGTTTCTTTGAGTTGCTATTTATGAAAATTATTGTTTTTCATAAACATTTTTGTTATTTAACTGGCGTAAACTCATCTGTCAAAGTGACATTGTTGTTAAAAAATAAAACTACCATGTAATTTAAAAAGCAGAGAAAAATTATTGCAAGTCCAAAATCGAGACAAAAATAAACTTTTCTTTCCATTGACTCAGAATAATGAAATTTTAAATACAGATTTGCCCGTTTCAAGTTAAGCGAAAAATATTATTCCTTTGCAGTTTTGACGTAAAATCAAAAAAAAAAATTTTCTCTTGTAAACCCAAATCCGGGAATATACTGTATACTGCTGTGTAGTGTGAACTCTTATATTGTAACTCTTTTTGTTTGTTAATAAAACAGAACATCATTTGCTCTCTACTTATTAAATTGACAAACAACCGTTTGAACATTTCAAAATATGTTGTACCATAAACGACAGAACTGATTTAATTTTAACGAAAACATTTCGTCTTTTGAATGCTCTATAGACTGATATTTATAAATGTTTTACTGTCTGCTATTATTAAATAACTGACATAATATACTTATTATATTCTTACTTCTAAAATATATATGTAGCAGCTAGTTTTCGAATTCAAGTTCTGTTACTTTAGAATCGATTCTTGGAGATTGTTGTTCTACTTTTTATCAGAAAAAATACTCGTTAACATCAAAATATTCTTTATTTAATGCTGTATTTACATAATAATTAAAATTAAAATAGTTTGATAATCATAAGTAACAATGTGCTACTTGTACCTAGTTTCTAAATCTCTCTTAAAAGTTATAATCAACCCCTAACTGCCTCGCACAGTCTCTTATCCATGGTAAAAAGCTTGCCACTCTAGTATAAACTCCTGGTCTATCTTTCTTGGCACATCCATCACCCCAAGATACAATTCCTGTCAGTTCATGTCGGCCATCTCTTTCACAAACCAACGGCCCGCCAGAGTCCCCACCGCAAGCGTCAATTCCCCCTCGCAAATGCCCCGCACATAGCATCGAATCCAAAATGGGTTGCTGTCTTCCTCCATAAATCCCATCTTTGCGACAGGTCTCCAGGGAAAGAAGCGGCACTGCCGCCGACCTCAAAACCGGCGACAGCCTGTCCGGCGCTTTCGGGTCACTAGCACCCCAACCAGAAACCTCGCACCAGGTGCCTGGAGGGGGCGAGTCGTAAGCGAAGCACGCCGGCTTCACCAAGAAGTTGAAGTTGAGTCCGGGGTCAGCCAGCAGGAGCACGGCGATGTCGTAGCTGTAGGGCCCGAGCTTTCGGAAGTCGGGGTGTTGT